GACAACAGCATCTCTCTCGCTCCATCTTCCATTAAAAAAAAAGAAATCAAGAACCTGCTCGCGACAACAGCATCACACCACCATCATCACTATCAACCAGGAACACCACCGAGCAGCAACCAGCGTCGTCACCATCCTCAGATATTACCATCATCGTCGTCATCACCAAACGTTGTCCTGCTGCCCTCGCGTGAAGTCACCATCATCATCATCATCGTCACGCTATCACCACCATCATCGTCCATCTCTTTTCCTCACAAGAAAATAGCCGTCCATCCCGCGAGCAGACCGGCGACCAGCAGACGACAACAACGACCAGGCCACCATCAACCCAGCGACCACCACCCCACGCCGCTGCAGTCCCGCCATCGCCACCTGACCAAGCGTTGTTCGTCCGTCGAGTCACAAGCCGCCACCGTAAGCCTCCTCGTTTCGGTCGAGCACCATCAACAAGTTCTCGCTGTCCATCGGCACCTCCGCGATCGTTTTCCGGCGTCCCAAGCGAGCCGGAACAGCCCCGTTCACTGTGTTTCCGTCGGCGAGCCAAACATAGTTGTCGAGCCCCGTCGGTGCATGCGTGCCGTCCGTTCAGCCCCGTTCGGCCCTTTCCATTGATCATCTATCGTATCTTTTCCCGAGAATGGTGTTTTAGAGCTTTATTGAATTTACGTTATTTAGGGTTCGCGTTTTGTGTTTATGTGGTAATTTATTGTTTAACTAGTACAACATTCGTATATTACACGGGTGTTTGCTAATTTTTTTCTTAAAATCTAAAATTAATGAGAAAAAGTAGTTGGAATTTTAAATACCTTTTACAAATATATATATATATATATATTATATATTTAGTATGACACTTTTTATTTGTGCAACTTATCTGTGTCATATTATAATAATTTTTTAACTTACAACATATGACTACATTAAAAATAAATATATCAATTGATAAATAATTTTATTTTTCTATTGAATTTTAATAAATATTATTATTCTTTATTATTATAAAGATAAATATAATTTATATTTATTTCATATGTACAATATGGATGTCAAATCGAAGATCATCAAAAGATGATTAATTTGATATATAATATATGTAAAACCGATAAAAAATACAAAAATTATCAACTTTTAAAATACATTTATAATTTAATAGCTAATTGAGGGAAACAAATCAAAGTCAGGGATATATTAGTCACTTAGTGCCTCACTTTATTAAAGGGCTATAAAATACCTAAGTTAGATAAATAATATTTATGGATGTCCGAACCTAAATTATTAATTATTAATATATCAATATTATTTGTCCAAGCCTAATTACGAAGCATGATTCTGCGCCAAGTAGGATTACGAAGCACCAGAATCAGCCACGTAGGCTCAGCGCATTCTGGAATTATATAGGGATGATTTGAGATCATTGCGAAACCCTAATTAAATTCGTGTATTGCTATAGATAATGGAACCTTTTCGAGTCTTTGGCCTCATGGCGAAGGCCTCAGACGAATTCGGTGTGATTCGAGTCTTATTTGAAATTTTGAAACCGTAATTGCTGCCGAATCGTATTTAAATCATGATAACTCATATGCTGTTCCGATTGCTATAAAATTTTACATGTGATGTCCTGTGTTGATACTACATGCCATGTAAAAATTTCATAATTTAACTCCATCTGTAGCTATTTTAACTAATTATTTTGAATTCTGGGCAGAATATTGTAAATTGCATATTAAATTGACTTGTTCTCCAAAATGACTGATTTTTAGATATGTTGTTCCTCTGTTATATTTTGATGTCGTGTATAAATTTCGTGATTTTTGGACTTAGTTAGCTAGGGTAAATAATTATTTGTAGTTTTCTGCTGAAACTCGTTTTAATTATGATAAATTGATCAGTTGCTGTAAATTGTTGAAAATTTGGGTGCATGCTCTTTTTATGTAGTAGTACTTAGTATAAAATTTTAAGAATACAATTCATTCTTTATGATAGGTTAATAAATGAGTTTTCTGCTGAATATTGTAAGAACTTTCATAATTCGTATGTTTATTGTTTAAAGCTGAAATTTTTATATGTTGGTCCTTACCTGCTGTAGTCGCTCCAGTAAGAATTTTAAGTATTAATAATTTATTTATTAGGTCAAGCTATGAATTTATGCTCGTTTTTGCTAAAATCGTGTTTGAATTTTATAAAATGGTGTGTTTTGAGTTAAGGGCTGAGATTTGGTGGTTTTACCAAGTCCAGTGAGGGAGATTTTATGTTAAAGTTTCAAGACTTAACTCATTAATTTGTCCGACCATCTTGAACTGGTGTATTTGCTCTTAAATAGTCGAGTCGAGTCCAAGTGTTCCAATGTCCACAGAACTTCACGAACGAAGTTCGACTAAGTATGTTTTGTGTGCTTCTTCTAAGGTCAAGATAAGACATTGATTTAAGTATCTTGACTATTTGTAGGTGCTTGACGAGTCGAGCTCGCCGCCTACTCTTTTCTGTTTGCGTTTATCACGCACTTTCGACCAGGTGAATTTTATTTGTAATTGCTATGCTTTAAATGTTATAAATGATCGCTTTTGGTATGATCAATGTATGTATGTGAAATACGTAGCCTTCGATGTGAGCTGTACCGGTCGTCGAATGGTTATCCCCGAAACTGTAAAGCGAAATTCGTGGGGTTTACTCCTACTATTGGCATCGATAGAAGCCCGAGTGGCATTCAGTGTAGAAGTCTGAGGGGCATTAGACGTATAAGCCCGAGGGGCATTCGATACGTCTACCAACAGTAGTCTATTGATATAGGTGTGCACATGAGTCTTGATTGATGAAATATATGATGAAAAATTTGGATAAATGATTTATTCGTATACATGCTGCAACTATACCTGATTTATTACTGTGAATAATGTTACTGCATAGTGGTGAGCACTACGATTTTTATTTGTGCTCACCCTCACCTGCTCTCCATGTTTGCATGTTAGTAAAAGAGCGGGCACAACAGATGCGAGTGGTGGTCTTTTAATTTGATTACTGCTTCCGCCTGTTAAACTGATTACTGTTATTATTGCATTTTTAAATATCGATTTTTGGATTATTGTTAAGGAGTGTACTCCTTGGTTTTAGAAGTTTGAGAAATCCGGTTTTGGGTATTGGATTGATGATTTATATTTTATGATTGATTATTAGAGATTGATATTCGCTTATGAAAATGAGTAACGTCACAATGATTTTAAAATAAATTTTGAAAAATTTATTCTGATTTTCGTCAAATAAAAGTAGGGCGTTACATAGGATGTGTGAGTACTTCGATACTGAATGCACTTGATGTTACACCACAAAGTACTGCAACATGTATCACTGATGATGCACCTGAGCAGGTAGTACCTCGTTGTAGTGGGAGGGTTGTCTGGCAGCCCGACACCTCTTCGCGGGTGGCTCGTCGTAGAGATCCATCAGCCTAAATCAATAATTTAAACAAATAATTAGTAACCAACCTTTTTAAATTTATTTATTTTATTAATTATTACCAAATAATTACGATTATTTTTAGTAATATTTACACAAGCTAATCAAAACTCTTCATAATATTAATTATTATTATTCAATAAAATACATTATTAATTATTACAAGTATTTATTTTCTTAAAAAGTAATAAAATTCAATTTAGTAATGATTCGTAAACACATCATTAATATAATTATACTTTTGATTATATAATTATACAAACTAATTAATTATTAACTTATAGATTTTTTTCAACTTATATTAGACTATTAGTTATAATTTCACTAATATATGTTAATTATAAAAAAAGTGTAATTATATATATATATATATAATATATTAATTATAAAAAAAGTGTAATTATATATATATATATAATAGATATTAATTATAAAAAGTGTAATTATATCAATGATATTATATAATTTCACTAATATATATACAACTTATATTAATGAAATTATAGAAAATATATATTAATACGTTAAATCAATATATTAATATATTAATATATTAAATCAATTTTCTTAATATATATTAATTTATATAAAACATGTATTAATATATTAAATCATTTTTTAATATTTAACCATAATAAATGAAAGAAAAAAAAATCGGCCGATCGGCGGCCGGAAACGGAAAGGCCGACCTCCGACGACGGCGGCCTTTGGTCTGGACGGCCGAACTTAGCGGCCGTGCCGCCAAGGCAAGATCCGCCACAATCAGCGGCCGGCCCTTTTCTAACCGGCCGCAATCGACGACCGACTTCTTCAAACCCGGCCGGCTTTGGCCGCCCGGCTCGAACACAAAACTAATAAAAAAAAAAAAAAAAAGTACCCCTGGAATCATTTGTAGGAGAGAGTGTATAGAGAAGGTGTAGAGAGAGTTTGTTTCAAGTGAAAGAGGCAAAATAGTTTTTGGGGGCGTTGAATAATGACACATAAAAATCAACATCCTCTGTCACATCCTCTGTTCCATATAATGTTTCAACTCTCTCTTTCTATTTTTTTTTTCTTTTCTTTTTTATTTTTAATTGTACATATGCAAAAAGTGAAAAACAAAACCACGCAGACATGTACATACACATGATATCAACACGATTCATTCGGGAAAATAGTAGTGCATAGAACAAAACAGAAATATTCATGCTGTAATATCCACGACTTTGGTTGCTTACTCCTTGCGCAAAACCCACGCAGGGCTCGTCACTCTTCAGAAGAAAACCCAAAACCCGTCACTCGATCTAACAAAACAACGAGGAGACCGAACGAACAAATCACAAATACGATAATCACCGACAACGATCGAGAAGGAACAAATACGCAGAGCGCGCATAGTGAATCAATCAAGTAATCGACCAAACACGCTAAGGGGGCAAAAAAAACATAAGCAGAACGTTCTTCAGCTCAATCCCAGTCAGTCCGCATGTAAAAGCCCCCCTACGCCGAAATTAATCTGTATCATCCTTCATAAAAGAAAAACAAAAAGAGAAACAATAGTAAATCAATCAACAATCATCAACATGTGATGATTCTTGCACGGCCGCCGGCTGCTCCCCTCCCTGCCAACTCCACACCACGTCCTTGAGCGAAGGCTTCATCTCCTGTTCCCGAAACTTGACGTACTCCAACGTGTCCCCCGCCGTCTTCTTCACCTCCACCACATGCAACGACGGCGCCACCTCGAATATCTCGGCGTCGATCACCAGCTGTCCCTTCCTCCCCCCTCTACTTCCCTGCATCTTCACCAACCCTTCTTTCTTCCTCTTCACCCTGAAGCTCACCCGCTCCGCCAGCTCCTCCAGCTTCTCCACCACCTCCGCCGCTGGCTTCCTTGTCGCAAACCACGCCCGATTCTCTCCCTTCCCCAAAATCCCCGACAAATCGAACCCTTCCGAAAGCGATATTATGTCGAACGCATTCATCCTCTGCGGCTTGCTCTGCGAATGCTCCTCCCCGTCCGACTCGACTATCTCGAGCACGCTCCTCGGCGAAATTTCCTCCTCCTCCTCCTCCTCCGGGTACTCAATCCTCCTGAAACCCTTCCGGAACCACGAGTTCACCATGATCCTCGGGAGCGTGGCCCGCGTGGCTGGGTTCGGGTCGAGGATCCTCGACAGAAGCTTTCGGACCTCCGGCGGGATCCACTGCGGACACCGGAACTCCCCCCGACAAATCTTCCGGTACATTTCCATTAAATTTGCATCCTGGAACGGGAGATAACCCGCGAGGAGAACGAAGAGGATAACCCCACACGACCACACGTCGGCCTTCTCCCCGTCGTAGCCTCGCTTTATAATAACCTCGGGCGCCACGTAGGCAGGGGTGCCGCACGTCGTGTGGAGGAGCCCGTCCTGGCGCTTGGAGTCGTGGAGGGCCGAGAGCCCGAAGTCGGACACCTTGAGATTACCCGACTCGTCGAGGAGGAGGTTCTCGGGCTTGAGGTCGCGGTGGTACGCGCCGCGGCTGTGGCAATAATCGACGGCGGCCACCAACTGCTGGAAGTAGCGGCGGGCAGCATCCTCCTTGAGACGGCCCTTGGAAACCTTGTTGAAGAGCTCCCCGCCGCGGACGTACTCCATGGCGAAGTAGATCTTGGACCGGCTGGCCATGACCTCGTACAGCTGGACGACGTTCGGGTGGCGCACAAGCCGCATGACCGAGATCTCGCGCTTGATCTGCTCCATGAGGCCCACACGGGAGATTTTTTCCTTGTCGATGATCTTGATGGCCACGCTATGGCCCGTGTTGAGGTCGCGCGCGTGATGGACCTTGGCGAACGTGCCCTGCCCCAGGAGCTTCCCGATCTCGTACTTCTTCATCAGGATGTTCCCTTTCCTCTCCATATCCTCGCCTCGGAAATGTGGTTTTCCGAGTTATTTCTCTTCCTCTCTTTTCGTCTGCCTATTTTATTACGAATTATTGAATGGAAAAGGAGCGGGATCGAGCCATTGATGTGCTTTCGACGTGCATGGAATTCCTGATTGTTGAGATTGAGAGAGCCTTGCCCAGAAGGCAAGGTTAGAGAGTTTCTTTTGTGAGGGAGAAAGAAAAAAATGGGAAGAAAAATGTCCCCCGGGTTTGGTTTTTTTTGAGTGTAGCGTTTTATGGGGTTGGCTGACAAATTATAGCAAACACATATTGTTGAAAATGAGTGATGGGGATTGGGTGTGTGTTGGATTTTTTATTAACGTTTTGAGTGGTCCATGCATGATGTTATTGTCTAATCCACATAGAATGTAATATTTTTCCTTGCATGAGAATTATAATATTTTTACTATTGGGAGAATTTTTGTGGAGCATATTCTGAAATGGCTAATGTCTATGGTCGATGTGGGAGGGGTTTCTGGCTGGCGTTCTGTATAAGGTTTCAACAACTTTTGATCGTGTACATTTAAAAATAATATAAGTAACCCTAAATAGATTATCCTATTAGTATTTCATTGTTTCTACAAACATTGTCAATTGTTTGTAAAATTATTTTCTCGAAATTGGACTACATAAACTGATTTACAGCTCAGGCACCTAATGCTAAAAGTATTCTGTAATGCTCGTGCGGATTTTGTGATGTAAACCGATGGATTTCTTAATGGTGTAATGTGTACTTGATACCTTGAATGTTTGGAAGAAGAGAAGAGAAGGGAGAAGGAATAAGAGAGATAGATAGGAAGAGAGAGAGAGAGAGATTGAATTTCCGGGAAAATGATAAATTGCACAATCGCAACACCAAGTTTGTTACATAATATGCTGGAAATGTTGTTGTTCTGTTACAGTATCATCCCGTCGAGTATTTTAATTGTTGGATCATCTATCTTATACTAACTACATGTGTATCTAATGGTTAAGAGCATGTTTGTTTATAAGATTTTTCAAAAAAATTCTCACATTTTAACTCAACCACTTTTCTTAAGTCAACTTTAACTCAACCCCACTATCATCAATATTATCAATATAGTTAAATAATAACAATCAATCATTTATACACACCACATAAACCTTAATTCACTATTTATCCACTCACATTATTTTAACTAATCATCACATCACATCTTCTCTTTCCTACTTTTACATCAAACCAATTTTAATTATTTTATTTTAAATATTATTTTAATATACCCACTAACAACTAACCATACAACTTTTTCAAAATTAACTAAACCAAACCAAAAAATCCAAACAAACCCAAAAATTTTCATAACACCCGACAAGATGGTAAAGTAACGAGATCGTAGCATTTGCCTACAATCCATGTGCATAAAATAAATATGCCAAATGCTGTAAAATTAACGAAATACGTAATTAAAATATAATTAGGATTTGGAAATGGCTTGATCAAATGCCAAGTGGACGTTTGTCCATCACATTTTCTTCACCTCGTCCTTGACACGTGTTGCGCCTAGGAGACTTCCTTCCCCCTCTTTGTCTGAAATTGAACCCAAACCCTCATTTTGTTCTTCTTCTCGAGCCCTAATCCCATGTCTTTCTTTTTTTTTTTCAGAAATTCCTCAAAGAGACATGTTCTTCAATAATTCCCCTTCGATCTACATATCCTTGGACCCAAGGATCAAAATATGGAAACTTTTTTCATGATGTGCTTCTCATCCTCCCAAGAAACGACCCCCTATGACTTCTCTCCCCAAACTACCAAAATATGTGAAACCTCTTCACATCCTCGAGTAATGGTGCGCCTACCAACGATCTCAGACGGCTCAACCTTGAAGAGACCATTTGCAGTCCAACTCAGAAAGTTTAGTGATAGTTAACCCTTCTTTCATTATTGTATAGGGATCAACCTTCCAATATTGTATAGGGCTAGAAGAAGCGAGAACACAACTTTACACTCTTACATAGTTGAATGGAATTCTGCCTGTAAGGTTGTAGCTTTAGGTAGACTTGCTCAACTATTTCAAAACTTCTTTCAACTCTGGTTTTATCTGCATATTGCTCCATTTTTTGCCATCAAAAGGTTCTCCTTTATTTTTTGTTTCATGAATTGCCCGTTCAGAGCCTCTTGTTTGGCCTCTTGATTGGTTGATTCTAGATAAGGCCCAATAGATAACATAGAAGGGACATAGCCCTCTAGTGCCTGAAATGGTATCATATTGAGGGCAGAGTGAAAATTGGTATTATACTAGTACTCTACTAGAGGCACTTAATTTAACCACTTCTTAGGAGCTTCACTAGTCATTCACCTTAGAAAATTTTCAAGGCATTGATTAAGCCTTTCAATTTGGCCATCTGTCTGCGCGTGGTAGCTGATGAAAAATTACAGTGCCACTCCCATGAATTTGAAAAGTTCCCTCCAAAAGGCACTTGTAACAATAGATATCGGCAGTCCATGTAGTTTATAGTTGTTATCAGGGAATAATTTAACAAGTGTAGGAGCAGTATAGGGGTGTGAGAGGGGCAGAAAGTGACCATATTTAGTGAATCTGTGAATCAATCACTACTAAAATAATGTTCTTTCCTCCAGAATTAGGCAACCCTTCAATAAAGTCCATGGTGTCCAGGCTTCATTAGGTACTCTTAGGGGTTGTAATAACCCTAGTATAGGCCCCTTTTCTGTCTTGCTCCTGGTACACACATCACAATGTTGTACCCAAGCAGTCACATTATCCTTCATCTTTCCTAATAGAATGCTGATTTGAGTTTCAAATATGTTCCATTGACACCATAATGACCCCCATATGCTAAATTATGCATAGTTGAGGATCTGCTGCTTAACATCCCCATTGCTTCCCATCATTATCCTACCCTTGTATCTCATCAATTCCCCTTAACATGTATATTCTGAGTAAGCCTCTACGTCATTTTCCTTTCCAGATTTGATCTCATCAATGTGTGCATCATTATGATAGGAATGTATTAGTTTCATGCTCCCACTTAGGACTAACTGTAATGATGGTCTCACATGAATTGTGAGGTTCTTGTTCTCTGGATAGAGCAACATTATCTCTATTTTTTAGTGCCTTTTTTATACTAAATTTTATAGTTTATGACCGTCTGTTGGACAGATGACACTACCCCTTGATCCAATAAATCCATGAGTGCTTGTTGATCTGTTTTAATAATGAATTTATGACCCTGTGGATAATGCCTCCGTTTTTGTACTACTAGCTTAATGCCAAAAACTTCATCTCATAAACTGAAAGCACTTTACTCTTAGGACATAAGACCTTACTAAGGTGGGCAATAGGTGTCCCTTTTTGCATTAAAACTGCCTCAACGCCCACACCATTAGCATCAGTTTCCAAGGTAAATGGTAGTGAAAATCTTGAAGTGGCAAGACAGGAGTTGTGACCATTGTATCCTTGAGAGCCTCAAAAGCCTTTTCTGTTGTTTCATTCCATTTGAATAGATCCTTCCTTAGTAGAGAGGTGAGGTGTTTACTGATCACCCCATAGCCCTTCACAAACTTCCTATAGTATCCAGTCAGCCCTAGAAATCCCTTAAGTTGTCTCACTGTATTAAGTACAGGCCACGAAACCATACGCTCCACTTTTAGGGGATCATTAGAAAATCACTCTTGGGAAATAATATGCTCCAGGTATTCAATTTGCTTTTTGCCAAACAAGAATTTACTCTTTTTGCAAATAACTGATGATCTCTTAGCAACCGTAGCACATTCCTAAGATGCTTTAGGTTCTCCTTCCAAGTAAGGCTATATAGCGTATTATCATCAAAGAAAACCAAGGTGTACATCCTTTGGCACTCACTGAAAACTTGGTTGAAATGTTGTTGGGCATTACACAACCCAAAGGGCATAACAAGGAACTGCTAGTGTCTGCTTTGAGTTCTAAATGTTGTGAGATACCTATGTTCTTCCTTCATAAGGCTCTGGAAGTAGCCAAACCTAAGATAAATTTTGGAAAAGTATCTGGCCCCCTCCAGTTCATCAAACAACTCATCAATAATAGATATAAGATAGTCATGTTTGATAGTTAACTCATTCACATACCTGTAATCAACTCAAAGCCTCATTGTGGAGTCTTCCTTTTTTACCAATAGAACTTGGGATGCAAAATGAGACTTGTTGTTTTGTATGACACCTGATGACAACAATTCCTTTACTATGCCCTCAATTGCAAACTTTTGGTCATGTGTAGTCCTCTAAGAAATTTGTTGCTTTGGGACACTACAAAGGTTTTAAGAGAATTTGGTGCTCAGTACCTCTCTCTGTTGTCATGCTGCTTTCTCTGTCTGGTGCAGGTTCGTATTGAGGAGGTTTTTGCTTTATATGTCAAAAGAAAAGATTGTAAGTAGTTGTGAAGTTTGGCATTAAATTGACAAACTCCAAACTAAAGCATGGAACCTACATAGAATTTTGGAACCATACTGAAAGATAAAGGTAAGTGTTTCTTATCCTGTTTTATTTTATTCCCTTGATTTTATTTGGTTAAGATCTTTAATTAGTTTATTTTGTTTGAAGGAGATCGAGAAGAAATCTACAACATATCTTACCATATGAAGCAGCTGCAAAAACGGATTATACTTACTATGCAAGGAAGCCACAAGACATGCGGAATATGTACAATATGGAGCAGTAGAGAGATGGATGAATAACTTACCATGCAAAGATGACTTGCAAAGGGGATAAACGGCTACAAGTATGACTTGGAAAGGGGATAAGCGGCCACAAGTGCAAGAATGTGGACGCGGATAATTTTGCAAGAAAGAAGCTAAGGAGAATTTACCCGTTTTTATGGAAGATATAAGCGGCTCTTTACACGCCTCAAAAAGTAGACATATCAGAGATTATTTTTATTTTGATGTGACGTAAAGAGCCTTGTGAGCTGTATGATGGAATCAATCTTTGGAGATTGATTTAAATTTCATTGTCATGTAGAGAGAGTCTATTCTCGATCTTTTGGAGCATATTTATACTTCGAGAAATTGTAGGTGTTCGGAGAAACACTAAGAATAATACGATGGATTCGTGTTGTGGAAATCAACAAGATATTTGTGGTCGGGAAAGTAGTTGTATATGTGATTACATTGTAGGTTTAGAAGAGAGTGTCTTCATTGTAACTCCTAAGTGTAATGGGCCAAACACTTATATATATGAAAGAGTTCCGAAGTGAGAGCGGAATGCTCTACTGAAGGTTCATGTATTGTAGAATCTTGTTTCCGCAATTTAGTGAACATAAATCTATGTTTACTGGTGTTTATTAGTAGCGAAATTATGGTATATCTCCCAAAAATATAATCATAAATAAAGGCTCAAAAAACTGGGTATTGCACAAGTCTAGACCGGATGGCTCGCTGTGTGGTCCGACATGGCTCGACTCACTACACCACACAGGTTGCCTAGGTTCTGCGGGCTACACGGGTCACCTAGCACTGCTATTAGTGCTATACGGCTCCCTACGACCCAGCACTGGGCAACACCCCTTGGTAAGACACTGGCTTGGGTGATTCGGCTTGGGTAATGCGAATAAAGGCAAGCTACTAAAAAATGCCTACAGTCGCTTGTATCGGATGCGCAAGCGAGCAGCATGGTTTTTCAAAACACACGGAGTCGAGCAAGCAACTCGAGTGGTTGACGCTCGTGAAGTCGATGTTAGTGTTATATATTGAAAGCTTGGCTTTGGATGATATTATACTTTTACCCTTTATGAATAAGAAACATGTTAGATTAAACAAGTTTTACGTTCTGTTGTTTTGCATTAGATAGTTTGGGTCGACGACCCGAGCGCTGGCTGCTGCTGGTGGCTCATAAAAAGAAATGAAGCATCGGGCGAACCTAATGCAAGTGTGAGCGTCCTGGCCCGGTTTGGGGTAGATCGATTCTTATCCTCGCCGGTAGAATGCCGGAAACTTGCAAATAACTCTCACACTGGGGGTTCTGTCCGGTGAAGAGCCTCCGATGCTTAAGTCAGTATGTGTATGAGTATACTGAAGAGAGTAATGGAAAATTCGTGTTCAGGAAAAAGGCTTGTTGGGATCAACGAAGATCTCGTTATGCACAAATCACGAATTCAATAGCAAAATGTAAACCTATGCGCAGCAGATCTAAAGGTTTGCGTAGAGAACTTACGGCTTAAAATTTATGGCGATCTGGCTGATCTTTTGGATGGTCGTACACAGCACACCAATGAATTGTTGACTGCAAATTGCGTCCTAGGGTCGCACGAACAAGATCGGATCGAAAACCGGATCAAACGGGTGCAAAAATGGAAGAAGACAAGTTGTAGTACTGGGA